ATCCAGCTTCCCCTCTGGGCCCTCCCTCATCCCTAGGCGCCTTAGCAGCTACCTGGACTACAGTTACACTCATGCACACTTCCCAGGGCTAGACAGTATTAGCAAATTAACCCCAAAAAGTCTATTATCAGTCAGTCTGCATCAACATAACAGACTTGCAGAGAACGGGAACAGTAAAGCGCAATCAGTTCATAGTATGATGCCAAGCCAGAATATGTAATGTACAGATATGGCTCCCCTCATGTACCCATCAACATTCATAACAACGAATCCGCAAACACCTTTCACCATGTACACTTACAGACACCTACCATGGTCAACATGAATGAATATTACAAAACACACGTTCATTGTTTGCCATATACACACCGCCACGCCTGCGTTCACATTAAACACCGGGAAGGTTTTCTGGGAAGTAAAAAAACACAGTCTATGCTTCCCGGATAATGTTTTCCTGTGTTTTGAGGTTCCCGCTTTAGAGCCCATTCACACCAGGGTGGTTGCAGATCAGTGTGGTTACCGCGCTGATTGCAAGAAGGAGGTTTTGGGTGTTTTTAATTGCATCTCAGCGCTGAAACATAATAGAAAACGCTGAAAGCTGTATGGAAACCGAACTGATCAGCGCAGCAAAAATAGTGCAGGGAGCAGTTCAGGCAGGGGGCGCTGAGCCAAACCAGCCCGGGCCTCAGCCGCTATTAGTATAGCCCCGCAATAAGAGTTTATCATTTTCTGGACGCACATAATTCTATTTTCTGACCTGCACATCGCTAAACGCAGGTAAATGTCCAATAATACCATTACAAAAACGTTACATGCATTTATATGTGTTTAGAAATGTAAACAAAGCACATATAAACGCAGGTTTGACACTGTCAGTGAGACTGATGCCTAATTTTGGCCTGCCAGCTGTCATGGAACTCCAAAGACCTACCCCTGATTAAAAGGCTGGATAAAATCTAACCATCTTTAATGTTTTTAAACAGAACACTTCTATTTAGACCATATAAATACATATCTCTTTCTACATCAGACCTAACAAAGTGGTAGTTGTACAAATAAGGAATTTGGGTATATAAATTAGGATTTTCCCTCCTGGGCACAGCTCAGTATTCAAATCACATCGATTTTTTAAAATAAAAAGTTTGTAGATTCCATGTAGAAATAACATTATTGCGCTCCTTGAATGGTGGGAACGTTTGTGTCGCAGAACCGAGTAGTACAGGCTTCAGTTTCACAAGGAGCGATATATTGAGTGCACCCAATAGGGGAGTGAATTCATGAGCGGACGGCAGAAAGCATGCTGGAAGCTGGAGGAGGTGTAGTATGTGTTATGCAGAGTGAGAGCTGTTCTTGTATGTTTGCTGTTTACATTTCTGATTTCCTATGGTGTCTGTTCTTCTGAGTGATAATATAAACAGAATACATGTGTTTACGGAATGTGTCTCCTAGAAGTGATTGGCTACAGACAGCTGCTGCTATAGTGTCCCTGTACCAGTCCCATCATCTCTTAGCACATGCTGACACTTGTAGCCCCACAGGAGCTGTTGAAGCACACACGTCTGTCAGTGGTCCCTCTTTTGCAGGGAATGCTCCTCTTTTGGAAACAAATCCTTCTGTCCCTCTTTCTGAAATGTACATTCAATCTTGCATTCCTCAAAAATGTCTCATTCCCAAAAATGTACATCATCTCTGCAATCTGAGATCCCACGGGAAGGGTTGCAATGGATGCAGTGTCATACGGCACATATATAAGAAGAGGTGCTTCCTCTCACACATCCAATTGTATTATTATAGGTATGTATATAGCGCTGACAGTTTATGCAGCACTTTATATAGCGCACATTTACATCAGTCCCTGTCCTAGAGGAGCTTACAATCTAAGGTCCCTATCTCAGGCTGATTTAGACAGGAGCCATTTAACCTTTACAGCATGTCTTTGGAGTGTGAGAGGAAACGCAAGCACAGGGAGAACATGCAAACTCCTTGCAAATAGCATCCTGACCAGGATTTGAATCGGGAACCAGAAATCCAGTGTGTCAGGGAAGGTTCTCATTCATCCAGGTCACGGTATATCTGTAAAAAAATAAGTCAAGGGAACTGGACTTGCTGTATTTTCCTTGAATACGTTTCACTGGTCATCCGACCAGCTTTCTCAATTCAGAATGACTTGTACAAAAATTCTCATTCACATACAATGCTGTTTTAACACCTCTCTCTCTCCTAACTTGCTGTAGTGAGCTGGACGGTGCAGAAATGTAAAACCGTTATCAGCCCTGGCTGTGGACTACAGGACACTTACGTTATGGGGATAAGGGAGAGAAGGAGGTGATCAGTAGTCCTATTAGCCTTCCTGTGCAACGATGTATGTTACTGACAGGATTAGCGGATTAAAAAAAACAGGAAATGAGCCTGCAAAGAAAACTAATGCAGCCACCACATCTAAGGACTGTCCTTCTTTTTGACTGATGAACAGGCATTTGTTAATAATATATGTTTGTATTAAAGCAAAGCAAAACATTTTTTTTCTTCTTTTGCATGGGCAAATGATAGAATGTCTCTCTATATACAGTATGTGGTCTGTGTTGCAGTCTTGCAGATTTCACTTCCTTTGGGGAAATCTCTCCAGTGGGGACTGGACTTCAGTAACATGGGGAAACCTCTATTACACGGTTATGCATGGCGGATACGACCACTCCCATTGATCACTATCTCTGACTTTGTGGGCTATCCACACTGCTGCCAGTATAGCTTCAGCAATAATCTATACCAAGGGAATCTCAAACGTCTTCCAGTAATTGTCTATAAAATTGTATTTTATTTGGACTTCCATGATCCATGAAACTGCAAGTCAGAGAGGAGAATCATCCAATCCTCCGATTGTTCCACAAGACTACAATAGTTTGTTTATCACTTCTTTGGTAAGGATTTTTACTGTTTGTGTTTTCTCTCATTTCTCATCCTCCTGTGATAGGAAGTGAGTTGAAATCTCTCCAGTGGGGTGATGGGCAGCAACTAAAACCTGAGGGAAGTATCTACTCTTCCCTAAGTCTATCCAAACTAAAAAAACAAGTTCTATTGATACAACATAACATTATATATTTTGTTAAAGCAGGGGTAGGAAACTTTGGCACTCCAGCTGTTCTGGAACTACAAATCCCATAATGCCTTTTGGGAGTCGTGGCTGTCAGAGTCTTGCAACGCCTCATGGGACTTGTAGTTCCGCAACAGCTGGATCACCAAGGTTACCTACCCCTGTGCTCATGTTTTCACCCAACGCCTGTATTATTGCATTTGTCATTATCAGACACTAGGATAAGCAATGGTGAAAAAGCATCTGTCGGTTCAAAGGAAAATCATAAGTCCTCAATTTCTTTTTCTGCAGCCCCAGCACTCAATGAATGAGAAGCCTCAGTACAGAGGCTACTCATTCATTCACAAACTAATGATAGTACAAATATGTTACTATCATTAGTTTATGAATGGGGAGGAGCCTCTGTAGTGAGTGCTAGTCCCCATTCATAAATTCTTCAATGAACAGACTGTGATGTAGATCGCAGCCTGTTCATTCATAACTGGGGACAGTTATGAATGAAGTCCCCAGTTATTTACAAACACCGGAGTGATCAGGCGATCACTCCGGTGTTTGCTCTGTACAAAGGGATCGTTAAATATCATTGATATTTAACGATCCCCCACTCGGCCACGCTACACAGAGCCGCTGTCATCCAAAAACTGACAGGATGACAGCGGCTCAGATCAGAAGACGCTCGGCCACCCTGAATTGCGGCCAGCCGCCGCTCGTTCCCGGGACCCCCCCCCGACGGTGATATTTTTACGGATCCCCACTGCCACAGACCCTACAAGCAGTGGGGATCCATGGAGTCTCTCATCCCTATCTGGGATGGCTCCAAGGAGGGAAGAGAGATGACAGATGCCTTCAGCTTATAGTAGAACTGTAAATGCCAGGTCCGTACGGCGTACTGAGCTGGCCAGCTGGAAGCACTTTTGTAGCTCCGTACGACGTACGTCCTTGGCAGCGAAAGGGTTAAAGGAGAACTATTGGTTAAATGTTTTTCCCCATAGTTCTCCTCAGGGTCACGGGAGGACATAAATTAGCGCTATATATCGTGAGCTATAGCTCGCGGTATACTGAGATTGCTGCAGCCGGGAAGGATCCCGACATTACTGTCGAGATCCACGCAGCTGCGTGATTGACAGCTGGCTCTGCCTATTTAGAGGCAGAGCCAGCTGTACCCGCCCCCTCCCCCGTCCATTCCGCCAGTCAGCGCTGGAGGATCAGAGCGGTGAGGGGGGAATCCCTGAAGGGAGCCGTGAGTGACAGTCATCGCTCTCTGCAGGGACAGGATCGAGAAGTGAGCGAGCGACAGTATGCGTTCACTCCCCGATTTATTGAGCTGACGTGTGACAGTTTCATTGTCACAGGTCGGCTCCAACTATGAGGAGCAGTGGAAATCACTCACCTCATAGTTCTCCTTTCAGGAAATGCAGGACTGCTGATAATGCCAAGTGTCTGGATGTCTCTGGCTTTGATACTCTAAGTATCCTGCCTGGAACAGCCATAAAAATCACAAGAGTAAAGTTGGAACTCCTAATCCTGTATATTTTGGGTGAGTACTGAAACCGCTGGATCAGCATGACAGCCAGGCAACTAGTCATTTCAGAAAGTGAGATCAGCAGTGGTGGCTTCCATACTTCTCAGTACCATTTCCTTTAACCAATCGTTTTTTTTTTCCTATGGATTCTTCTTGGTCTATGTGACTGGTGGGACGACAGAGCTGTGTATCTTCCTACATTCCTTGTCCCTCCTCCTCATCTCAGAAAGGTGTGATTACACACATGTTGTTGGGTTGTACTGGGTTCTATACAAAGATTGCTTGGAATGGGATTTGATCATAATGAAAATAATGTGACACATTGTACTTCTGTCTTTTAATAGTTCTTGCCATGATTCAGCAATGCTGTGAGTAATTCCCTGGTGGTCATCAAGAAGTAGTGTTGGACAGACATGGAGGAGGTGAGTCTACAGCTGGCTATACACAGGACAATTGTCAGACAATTTTAAATTTAAATGTCCTCCCGTTACCCTGAGGAGAACTATGGGGAAAAGACTTAACCCCATAGTTCTCCTTTAAGCACATTCAGCCAGCTTTGGGTCACAAAAACAGCCAGGAGCCTGTTTACATTGAATCCACATCCGGGTATGTACGGTAGTAGAGGTGACTCAGGTGGCTGTAAAGTAAATGAAGGTACCAATCCATCCCCCTTTCATGTGTTCTTGGCTCACCTGTCCCTCCCTGGGTTTCTGGGACCTCCATGGCAGGTGTCATCATAGAGAGTGGCTGGAGATCAGCGAATATCCATTTGTTGATCTCCCCTGTTAAGCACGCACCAGGAAGCAATTAGCTCTGATCGCTCCCAAGTTCAGAGATGATGAACTCCAGACACTCTGGCTTGCTAGGAGTAGTAGTAATCGAGTGCAGTTTGTGCACAATCAGGCTGTAGCAGAGTGCAGAGGGGACATTAGGGGTCTAATAGACCCATGATAACTCCTTAAAGAGGTTCTATCACCTGCACTATGCGATCACGTACGGTCAGTCCTCTTGTGATAGCTATAAAATTAAGGAAAAACTTTTTTTTTTGTAGGCTCCACAGGGAACGTTTCAAGATGAGCTGGACTGGTGTATCCAACAGCTGGAAACCGGCCTCCTACGACGCAATCCCACCCCACAGCAAGGTGAGTGTTTCTAATAATGCGGAGCGGCTGATTGAAAGGATGAATATTGTTCTGCATGGGTTACTTTCTAATTTTAGGATTTTTGTGAGTTTTTGGGTACAGTAGGGAACTCTTAGAACCCCTGTCAGATTTTTATTGCCATATGTTATGCTGTGATGTTATAGTCACTATGAATATGATGTGAAGCCAGTCGTCTTTTTGCTATTAGACTAGTGACGGATTTATCTGTATTACAAATTTATCGATATTACTGATCTGTTACAATGAATTAAACATTTTTAGCATGAAATGAATAATGAGCTATTTCTTTCAAGGACTTGCATGTAATGTATATAATGGATTATATTTCAGCATGTGGGGCTGGAGTATTTAAAAACAAAAAAAGAGGAACTTTACCTATATCTTTAAAATTGCAACAAAGACACCTTTAGAAATGTTTAGTGATGACATTCAACAGACACATACTTCTACATAATTGCCGGTGTTCTATCGAAAGTTCCAACTCCTCGAGTTCTCCCACTGCCAGGTCACATCTTTTTGCCCTGATGAAGGGACCCTGCGTGGCCCCAAAACGTCGGCTGTTTTCACTGTGACGATTTGTCCAAATAAAATGGACATATTGAATGATATTGCTGAGTGCTGGTGATCCTTATCCTCTTCCTTGTGTCTGCATGGCGCCATCCGTGGTCATCACAGCGAGCACCATTTTTGTACAGGCCGGGAGCGTCGTGAGGAGAGCGGAGGGACTTTCTGTTTATCTACTTCTCCAACTGCCTGACTTCCGGTTTAGTTAGAACTAAGAGTTTGGCCAAGAAAGTTCTTCTGCACGGGCGCCAGCCGCGGCATTGCCCTATTCACATACAGCACAGCAATGAAGTAATACAATGAACTAGGATCACAGTAATCAGCACGTTATTAATCCCAGGTGCCCCACTTAATATGGCCGCCGCTTGAGTGGGGCACCTAAGATTAATAACGTGCTGGATTAGTGTGATCCTAGTTCATTTTATTACTTCATTGCTGTGCTGTATGTGTATAGGGCAATGCCGCGGCTGGCACCCGTGCAGAAGAGCTTTCTTGGCTAAACCTTAGTTCTAACTAAACTGAAGGTCAGGCAGTTGGAGAACTCGAGGAGTTGGAGCTTTCAATAGAACACAGGCTTTTTTTTTCTTTTGAACACCTTATATTTATCCCCCCCCCCCATTCTTCTCCCAGTGGTCATTTTTACTAAGGGCAGATGAATCTATCTTCCTTTACTTACTGGAACTCTTGACACCTGTGACTAGGACTTGTAACCATGCACATTTTCTGCATCTCACAAGATTTTTCAGTTGGCAGATGAGATTTCCCAGCAGTGCAGTGTGCTGTAGCCTTCCCAGGATGTATCTCTTAGGCATGGGCTACATCACTAATGGGCCTAAGAGTACCAGGAAGTGAAAAAACTGTAATTGTAAGTGAAAGAAAAATATGAAAGTGAGATGATTTCATATCAGCATGCCGAGCTGCATGCTGATGTAATTTTTAGTGAAAGGGGGTAAGGTCCACTTTAACTCTCGTGGCTTGAAGGATATTTTGTAGTTATCTAATATTTTCTAAATAAAAAAAGATGTGTGTAAAAACATATTTTTTCTTTAAAATTCTTTATTTATAATTTTTGTTTAATACATACATGGTAACAATCACAATTCAATTTCCTTCTTCCTTCCTTTTTTTTTTTTTTATTTGTTTTGTTTTTATTGCTGCCTGTGTCCCAGCTAGGGAGATTTACCCTCTCTGTATGTCCTGGTGACCAATGTCAACTGAATGAAAATCCCAAATGTTATAGTTGTCGCCAGAACAGAAATAGAGGGGGGGTGTTCCCACTGGAAGTGTTACCTTCTACTTTCTGTTCTGGTCTCACCTGTTCCTTCCAGTTCCAACTACAAAATGATTTCCCCTTCAGCTGGCCATACACTGGTATATTTTTTTCATTCAACCTGCTGGCTGAACAAAAATATATATATATAACAGATTCCTACACTCCACGCTAAACAGTGTGGATGGGCAACTCTCCCCCGTGGGCTGTTGTATTCAGCAGCAGGTGTGTTGCTGTCCGAATACAGGAACAGTGCCAGCAGTTGATTGGCTGCTGCTTTCCTATTGGCTCCTTCAGTTTTCTGATCGAAGGAAGCCAGGCTGGAGGGTGCCGACAGGGCCACCCAATGAACCAATTTTGGTTGATTCATCAAGAATCAGTTGAATTCAGACAGCACATGGCCAGCTTTACTCTGAAGAGATTTCCTCTCATTTCCTGTCTCCTGATGGGAAGTGAAGGAAAATCTCTCCAACAGGACACGTGCCGGAAAAAAAAGTGCTTTAGCCATTGCCTGCTCAATCCAAAAGTTTTTTGTTTTTTTTTAAATGCCTGTAGATACACATTAAAAAAGTTTAACCTAAAACCATTATATCAGGGAACCTCAGCACTCCAGCGGTAAAAGAACTGCAAGTCCCATGAGGCATTGCAAGACTCTAAAAGCCACAGGCAGAGGCGTGGTGGGATTTGTGGTTTCACCACAGCCGGAGTGCTAAGGTTGCCTACCCCTGTATTATTGTATCCCTTTAATAAAAAAAAAGAAAGTCTTTGGATCTCACCACTGGAGGTTGAGGTTGCTGAGAGCTGCACAGGCCTGATATAGTAACAGGTTCGAATTACTGCAGTGGCCATTTTGTTCTGTAAACATAGCTGGTGAAGGTGAATACTGATTGCTGTGCAGCCACAACTGGCAACGTAACCTGTTAAAACGTGCACATCGATTTCACGGAGAGAGGGAAGAAAGGTGAGTAAATACAACTGCAAAAATGAAGAGTCGCCATAAATATGTTAGTGGTGGGGACATTTGCATGTGAGCTGCCATATCATTGTTCTTCATGCTAAAAACGGCTTGTTTTATTTTATTAGCACAGGACACTGAGAAGATACTTAAGGTCCTGCATTCTCGGAAATCCCCCCATGTGAAGAAGAGGCAGGTCATGAATCAAGTCTTTGGAAACTACCGCCTTAAAATGACCGAGGAGAGACGGCAAAAAGAAAACGCAGGTGTGTTTCTATTATAATAGCTGGGAATGAAGAAGCAGATCCAGAAGAGCGGCCATGTTGTCAGGTCCATGGCTGTGGGGAGGATGCTGGGAAAGGTTAAACTGACCCATTCATCTTTATGTTTCGCAGTGTACACCCGCTGATAGATGGGAAATCGGTATCATTCATGCTCTGGGTCAACAATACAATTTTTAAGCAATACATACCCCAATAAAAACAGTTAAAGGGCTAAAGGAACATTCCAAACAAACATGGAGATAAAAGGGAATTCGTAGTCTTTTCCGTTTGTAAAGGTCAACACAGTGGTGTCACAAGGGGGGGTGTGGTTCGCACCAGGTGACAGAAAAATTACTCAAAATGACTTTTGGTGTCACCCCCTCTGAAAATAACGATGAAGATCACCAGCACTCAAAGGATCAAATAAATCCAAATGTGCTTTTATTCAAGAAGCATGTCACGCTGTTATATAGCCACCATTTGTCACTATGTTTGCCATGATGAAGGAACCCGAAACGTTGGCTATATAACACTCGTAACATACTTCTTTGAATAAAAGAACACTCGGATTTATCTTATCCTTTGAGTGCTGGTGATCTTCATCGTTATAACCTTGAATACGCACGGCGCCATCCGTGGACATCACTACAAGCACCATCACTATCTTAAAAAACGGTCTCCATTGCTGTGTGGTGTGCAGGGGATATCTTTGTTTATCGACCACCTCTGAAAAGTCGGGCACCGGGTGGACCGAGCGCCTGACAGCTGTACGAGATACCGTATCCCACTGGATGAATGTCCCCTCGTGATGAAGTTGTGCACATAATGACGTCCCCGCAGTTGACATCCAGTGGCCGCTCCAGGTGACACCCAGCCTGGGGACGCCTCTGGGTCAACATCACACAAATGTCCATTCTTCTTTGAATCTCCATGTCCTGTCCTTCTAAATCAGGGGTAGCCAAACTCCGGCCCTCCAGCTGTGGTGGAACTACAAATCCCATTAGGCATTGCAAGATTCTCACAGCCACAGACATGATTGCCGGAGAGAGATGCACCATGGGATTTGTAGTGTCACCACAGCTGGAGGGCCGGAGTTTGGCTACCCCTGTTCTAAATCCTTCCACTGATCCAGCATTAAATATTTCCCGTACTTTGCCTCTCTGCTGGAGCTTCTGCAGTACAGACCAGTCACTGCTGCTCTCTCTGCTTGTGTAGAGTGACTGGTCTTGTATCCGTCCCCTCCTGTAGTTTTCTGCCATCGACCTGTAAGTGGACCTCCTGGGTCCCTCTCGCAGCTCTGCTCTCTGCACAGACTATGCACAGTGCAGTGATCATCTGGCCACTACTTGTAGAAAGTAATATCTGAGTTTGCAAAGGTATTTGGTGCACAAAACATTAATTCATATGCTTTATGTCTGTTAAGATATATATTTAAATGACAGTGTTTGTGCCCCGTGGTCCGCTTTAAAGCCTATCTTCCAGAAAGATAAAAACCCCCTTTCAGTGGGGAATGCCCCTGCATTGGGAGGGTTAACTACTCGCTAAGGTATGTGGGTAAAGGATGCTTTACTCTTTTATTTTCCATTGGTCCGCTGATGACATCATGTACAATGCAAGGCCTATAGAGAAAGAAAAAGGCAATTGCTTGTGATTCACAGTGCTTTGGCAAATCAAACGTCTTGTCATTGAGGGTTACAGCAGAACTCCGGGTAAAAGAATGTATTAACCCTTGCAGTGGTCTACCCCTGCACTGGAAGGGTTAAATGCTAGTTTTTGCCTAAGATTTAAAAAAAACTTATACTCAACTGATCCTCGGAGCCGGCTTGCTCTTAGACCGGTCCCTGGAGCCTCTCTCCCTCTCCGCTGCAGCAGTCTAGGGTCCCTGAGTCATCACATTCTGTCCACGGTGTATAGGGCGTGAGTACACCAAGAGACATACTATCAATGCAGTGGAGGAGAGAGGCAGGAGGCAATGCTGTAACAGCCGGACGGAAAATCCTAGGCAAAAAACATCAGTTAATCCTTGCAGTGTGGGGGTAGCCCCACTGAAAGGGTTAATAGAAATAAAAAAAATTACCCGGAGTTGTTTTTTAATACTTTAAAAAACCGCCTTGTTTCTGTGTAAATTGCCTAATGGCAGTCGTTAGGGAGGGTAATGACTTTCGCTGCAAATGACCACTAGAGGGAGCAGTTACACCAGCAAGTAAAACCATGAGAAGTTTGTGAAATATGATTTACAGATAATGTTTTTCCCCCTCAAATTTTTTATTTTCACTTTTCAATAACAAAGTAATCAACATCAGAAAGAAATGACATTTCCCATAAAGGCCTCATCCACATGGATATGCACAGCTATACAGCATGCACGTCCATATTTGCAGAATGGAAGCCTCCGTGTTTCTTTCAGGTAACGTTTCCTGCCGATGACAATATAGTCTCAGAGCTATCAGTTCACAGGCGCAGCATAGTCTATTGTTCACTCAGCAACCGAGAATGGTAATAGATTACAGTTGTCAGGTGGTTAAAGAAAGTTTGGTGGCTGTGTCTTTCTTAAAGGAGAACTATGAGATGAGTGATTTCCACTCACCTCTTAGTTCTAGCCGACCTGTGACAAAGACTGTCACAGGTCGACTCAGTAGATCGGGAGGTGAGCGAACACATGCCGGCGCTCGCTCACCTCTCGATCCTGTCACGGCTGGATTCCCCTCTCCCCGCTCCGATCTGCCAGCGCTGACTGGCGGAACGGACAGGGGAGGGGGCGGGTACAGCTGGCTCTGCCTCTAGATAGGCAGAGCCAGCTGTCACTCGCGTAGCTGGGCGGATCTCGACGTCCATGTCGGGATCCGCTCCGGCTGCGGCCTCGTAGTATACTGAGCTTAGGGTAACGGGAGGATGCTAGTTTTTGTCCTCCCGTTACCCTAAGGAGAACTATGGGGAAAAACACTGACCCCATAGTTCTCCTTTTAAAACGCTAAGCAAGAACTTTTTACCAGTATTTTAAGATGAACTCTATTGCATTCGGTTCCCTATCATTGACTTATGTTGCCATTAAACCTATGGATTATATCATCAATCTTTGACTGCTGTTTTATGTTTCCTTTAAGCCAAACCATCTCCTAAGGTTCAGATCGAGGAGGTGACCCATCCAGATTCTCGCAGTGTGGCCTACAGGAAGTGCCCCAGGGACGGTCAGGGCACCAGCAGTGCACATTGGTTCACGCCGTCTGACAGTAGTTTTAGCTTCAATTTCTGCACAGAACAAACTGAGGGCTTGGAAGGAGCTGGCCCGGAAAATACAGAAGATGGTGATGCCAAATGTGAACAATTAGAAATCAGCAGCATAGGGAGTATGTTGAGCTCTAAAGAAGAATCTGGCTTCAGCTTTAATTTCCAGATCTCCGAGGATGCAGCATCTTCATCTCAGAACTGCGAAGGTCAGGAGTCTATGGCGAACACATCGAGTGGCCAGCCCAGCGCTATTCATTCATTATCAGAAGTCAGAAATGTAGCGGAGTCACAAGAAGCCTCATCACAAAATGTGGCTACTTCGGAAGAGGCTTGTAGCACTTCGGGGCTATCGGCAAATCAGAACTTGACACTGGAGGCTGCTGTGCAAAATGTAACTGACTCTCCAAAGAAAAAGAAGAAGAAGACGACTCAGAAAAAGAGTCATTGTGCCCAGGCGGAGAAGAAGCCGGAGGAACACAAAGCAGACACAGAGAAATCACCTCCAGCTAGTGAAGATGGTCAGGTACGGTGATTCACAGGCATCAGAATTTAAAATGGACCTTGCATACTTGATAAGGAGTTGAAATGTATAAGAACATTACCCACATCATGCACTGGTGTAAAGAGCCTGGCCCCGCCCATTCTCATGGCATTAGAAGCGCTGAACTGATAAGACCTCTTCGTGCTAACAGAGTTACTGCATGACCAGTATATCAGGATGTGAGGTAGCATCTTCCCTCCCTCTGGTGGATGTGTGTCTCCAGCATCATAAGCTTTTAGAAGCAGGAAGGGTAACATTAAGCTAGCTAGTACGCTGTATCTGTGCAGTTTTTGGATATCTATGACAGCTCCGGAATGGGAATATGACAATTCTATAGACCACACACACAGGTGCTGACTAGCCAGGTATGCAGTTTCTTTTAGTGAAATGGAATAAGAAAGCAGTCTCACCTTTGGCAATGTTTTCTGAAATTGTAAATGTAAACTATTCAGGTTGCCATATGAGAAAGCCATTCAAGTTTACGAATTTGTCTGAAGCTTACGACGCCTGCTGGTGCACATCCAACTGTTCTCTATAGTCTAAGGCACGCTAAAAGTGAACCTGTCCCTTGTCAATTCAGGGCAAAGCAAGGGTTCTCTATAATGGCATCCCTGCCAGCTGCACATGCTCAACTCCCTTTTGCTTTCCCACCACCCCCCTGAAGCAAACCTTTACCCTCTTTGACTAAAAATCACATCAGCATATAGCCCTGCAGGCTGATATGAAATCATCTAACATTCATTAGTTAAACAAACATATTTTCATTTTACGTACAATTTCTTTTTTTTTTTTTTTTTTTTTTACTTCCAGGTAGGGCTGCAGTTAACGATTATTCTCATAATCAATTAGTTGCCCGGTTTCTTTTTTCAAATAATTGGTTGCATTATAAAAAAAAATCTCTCTTTCTTTCACTCTCCCCCCCTAACCAACTAACCGATAAGGAGAATCGTTGCCAACTATTCTCATCGATTTATTATCGATTTAATCGATTAGTTGTGGCAGCCCTACTTCCAGGTTCAGTTCTGACACAAATGATGTAATTGTGCCCAAACATTGCATCCTGGGAAGGTTACATCAGCAGAGCATTGGTGGGAAATCTTATTGGTAATTTCATGAGATCTCAGGGAAAGGCATTTTCCTCCCCTGAGATGATGTGCATGGTCACATGTCCTAGTCACATGTGTCAGAGTTCCAGGAAATAAAGGGAAATCTAGTAATCTGCCCTTGGTTAAAATGAAGGCTGGGGAAGAAAAGAGAAATAAGGAATTCAAAAACGAGAAAGTCGCAATTATCTAGAAGTCTGTGTTTGTAGATTGTCATTAGTAAACATTTCTCAAGGTGCCTTTGGTGTTATTTTGAAGATCTGGGTAAAGTTCCTCTTTAAGCGGTGGGAATGAAAAAAGAACACCCTGTGTAATCTCCAGGTCCCATGTTAGAGCTGAGGAGTCTCTTCACCTCTACGTGACAGCACTGGGTGCCTGAGCTGCCAATCACTAGCGCTGTCACGTGGAAAGAAGTGGAGTGAGTCTTGGGTTGCACATACCTAAAAGTACCAGGTATCGCTCTGTGCTCCCAATGGCAGAACAGGGTATAGGGGAAAAAGGTGGATATGTGCAGCTGGGAGTGGAAACCTGTTGGATTCACAGCATCTACAAAACACAGGTACACGTTTATGTGCTGGACTACAGGAGAGTATTTCAACATTTAGCTGGGGGGGGGGTGCAGTAAAGAGAACAGGGCAGCTTTTGACTTGCTGCTTTACCTCACTGTTTGAAAGTGCACAGATTTATAAAAACATTGGCAAAAAAGCCGGAACATGTTGCTATGAGCAACAACATCGCTCCGGCCAGTCCATAGCCAGTTATTCATAAATGCTGTCATAATATTACTCTGAGATTTGTGATGTAAAACACCCCATCGGAGCAAGTAAATATTTGGTCATAATTCTTTTCCAAAGTAACATTTTACCTCTCACATCACAGTCTGGAGCCAGTGAGCTGCAGAGGGAACTGGACTGGTGTGTGGAACAACTGGAAATAGGACTACAGCGACAGAAGTCCGCACCTAAAAAAGGTAAGAATGTCTTTTTTTTTTTAGTTATGGAGGCAGCCTCAATATACTCGAATGTGTGTCACAGTGAACTGATGGAGGATGTACGTTGAAGCCTTACTTTGGACATTTTTTTTTATCTTCTAGTTTTGGATAAGAGTTAACAAAACTTTTTTAGATTTTTTTTTTTTTTTTCTCTGACCCCGATTAGAGACATTTTCTCTCACTTCCTTTCCCTGTGACGAGTATAAAAAAATATACTGGTTTTCACTGGGGAAGGAAGGCGCAGACCGCAAAAAAGGCATTGTTAGACTTTCCTATCCTTCCCTGTTCTACTAAAAATCTGTTTTCATTTTTCATCTGTGTTTCCATTGGAGAGACTTTTCCTCACTTTCACTGAGATGGCCATACAAGGGTGGTTGTCACTCATACAGCAACAGAGGCATTTTAAAGAGTTTTCCCCTTCCTCTACTGACAGCAATAAAAACAGCAGCTTTATCTTTCCTTGCTCTATCCAAAATAAAGGAAATGGTTGGAGTTGGATTTAACATTATTTAGCCTCCCCACCCCTTCCTGTGTGCTCACTCATGTCAGGGGCTGAAATGTCCTGGAATTGCTCTTTATCAACTTGCAGGTGACAAAATCAATTTGGACTAAAACTCTCCACTCATATCTATGTGTCAAGTGCCTCCAACACGTCATGACCTTCCTGTACTCCCCACAAATTCTGATATGTAGTTTTATGCTGCATCTGTGTGCCAGCCTCTTGCTCTTGGTATAAAGAAGCATTTGTGATCATGAGTTTCATTCTTTTCTTTTTGTCTAGTGGAAGAAGCAATGCGTGCCGTCAGAACACTGCGTGGCGAGAAAGTGGCCTTGGTTAAGAAACGGCAATTGATGCGCACAATGTTTGGCGATTACCGACGCAAGATGGAAGAAGAGAGACAGAAGCAGCTAAAGCTAATGCAGGCAGGTGAGTATCTCCCAAGATGACTTGTGAAAACTGGAGAGAATGTATACAGCTGGTATCTCTAACAACCAATCAGAAACCATCTTACATCCCTGAGTCTCCACCAGCAGAATGAAGGAAGGAGTCTGACTGGTCTCATTTTTTATGCTCCAGCTTCTAAAAAATCAGCACTGTTCAGCCTCGGCGATCGACACTGCAGCTGGGGATTACTGCAGCAAGAACGTTCGGATTTGTGCAGCATGAAATCCCAGGCGGGTCTGTACAGATGCGGCCCCTGTTCCCATTCAGGTGAATGATGGGCTGACAGCGGCCGTATCTGTCTGTGGCTGTGTGCATGTAATTGTATATGGAACAATACCTGCACTTCAGGACAGATGATTGTCCCTGGACGCAGGTAGATTGCATCCAGGGACAAGCATCTATCCCAAACTATCCCAATCCGCAGGTAATCGTTCCATGTACGATAAAACAAGGACAACCAAGAACAGATGTGGCCGCTCTCAGCCTGTCATTCACTTAAATGGACACATCTGTGCAGACCCGCCTGGGATTTCATGCTGCAGGTTCTTGCCGCAGGAATCCCCAGATGCACAGAAAAGCCTTGTGTGCATGCGGCCTTAATATTGTATATTTGATTAAAACTTTCAATGCACTGCACTTTGGGGGGAAAAATTTTTGATATTGTTCCATCTTGTGTTAGGAGTAGACAGGCAATTGCCAACCTGAGGATTTCTTGAAGCCAGAGATTTAAGACAGGCAGGCAGCGTGTATTTTCAGAAGGTCAGCATTGGCAGGCTACATAATTCTCTCATAAGAGGGGGGGAAACAGAAATCCATATGACACAGATAAATGATCTGGAGATTAAAGGAGAATTATGACCTGAGGGCAAATAAAAATACTCCTTACCTTTATTATATTAGCATTCTTCCTTTTTTCTGAAGTCACAGCACATCACAGATAAGGTCATCAAAACCCACAGGAAACAGCCACCTCCAGCCCTGCTCCAAGCTCCTTTCCTCTTAGGGAGCGGTAACAGTAGATCCAGCCCGCCCTCAGCTTTTTTTTTCTCAAATTCTCCTTCTGCTGTGGCCGCGCTTCCTCTCATCGTGCACAGCTGTGTTTTGTCAGAGCGTGCACGCTGGCATTTTGGAGCGGGAGGCGGAGTCTCAAGTGAAAAGGCAGCAGCAATAGATGGTTAGAAGTGAACTGCTGAGTCAGCCTCCCTGCACTTTCAGTGCTCTTTCCCTTCTCTCATCAGCGATCTGGATGCCAGCATGAGAGAGAGAGAGAGAGAGAGAGACCTCTCCATCATTTACCACATATGAGCAAGCCTGTCAGGGTACCGTGTACAGGCGTCCTCACACCTCATGCAGGTATCGGATCAGCGGAGGCGAAGAGCTGGGCATCAGGCACAGGATCATCGGAGACCAGGATCTGGGCCTCAGGCACAGGATCGTCAGAGACCAGGATCTGGGCCTCAGGCACAGGATTGTCAGAGACCAGGATCCGGGCATCAGGCACAGGATCGTCAGAGACCAGGAGCCGGGCATCAGGCACGGGATCGTCAGAGACCAGGAGCCGGGCATCAGGCACAGGATCGTCAGAGACCAGGAGCCGGGCATCAGGCA